GTGAGGTCGATCGTGAGATCGATAGTGAAACCGATAGGGAGATCGATTGCAAGATCGATAGTGCTACCGATAGTGAGATGGATTGCGAGATCGATTGCGAGATCGAGAGTGAGATCGATAGTGAGATCGATTACGATATCGGCAGTAACATCGGTAGTGGTATCGATAGTGCGATCGACAGTAAGATCGATAGTGAGATCGTCAGTTAGGTCGATTATGAGGTCGAATGCGAGATCGATCGCGAGATCGATTGTGAGAGGGATAGAGGGATCGATTGCGAGATAGATAATGTGATCGATTGAGCGATCCCACTATCGATCGCACTTATCGCCGCCCGCTGCCGACTCGTTGCCGCCAAATTGGGGGGGTCCGTCGAGGCGTCGCAGCCCTTTGCCGCCTCGTTGCCGCCCGCTCGGGGGGCTTCGTCGAGGCTTCGCCGCGTCGCCGCACGCTGCCGCCCGCTTGGATTGGTCCGCCGAGGCTTCGTCGCGTCGCCGCCCGTTGCCGCCTCGTTCCGTCGAGGCGTCGCCGCGCCGCCGCCCCGCTGCCGCCTCGTTGGAGCCCACCTTGGGGGGTCCGTCGAGGCTTCGCTGCGCCGCCCCCCCCCGTTGCCGCCTCGTTGCCTCCCGCCGCGCTTTGGGGTTTCGCCGAGATTGCGCCACATAGCTTGCACTACAGAACTTGCACCACCACGTCGTATATTGCATCACATAGCTTAGGCATCCACAGAGCGAGAAATTGTTGTTGGGGTCCACGCTGGCTAGCATCACTACGGTTACTCGCTATACCCCCTCTACTCGCACTCCTGTACCTCCCCTGGTCCAACCTCTGACCCCAACTCTCTATCCACTACCTACATTATGACATCTAGCTCTTCTATGAGTTCTCTATTCTGACTGTGCTGGCCAAGACCAGGGCGCTCGGCCGCAACGAGGGGCTCCACCCCAGAACCTCAGAATGCTGGGCGACCCCCGGGCGCTGCTGGGGCGCTCCCAGAGCGCTCCAAAAGGACGTTTCGGGCACTTGTGCGGGGGGCGAGGCCTGCGCTGCTCTTTGTGTTGCAGGGACAGCAGGACTGCCAGGGCCCGCGGGGTCTTGCTGCTCTGTGCGAGGCCGAGCTGTGGCTGACGCTCCGGCTCCGAGGCGGGTCCAGCCGTGGCGACGAGGCGCCTCCTGTAGAGGTCAAAACATCCACCCCCACCACAACCACCCCGACACGCGAAGTCGTTTAGTAAACGCGCCCAGAGAAGGAATCGAACAGGGCAAGACTGCTTAGTAAACACCCAGGGCCGTTTAGTAAAAGCCAATTGTCCGGTCCAGATGGTTTTTCCTCCCTTGATCCTGGGAGGGGAAAGGCTGCCAAACCATCGACGTCTAACAACTCGACTCTCGCTCCCTGGGGGGTGGCCGACCGACAAAGACGACCACAGATGACGTCGACGACGACGACGACGACGAACGGCAGCGCCGCCAGCTTGGGCGGCGGCAAGTTGAAGCCCGCGGTGATCCTGCCAGAGGAGCCCGGCGCCGTGCTGGCCACCTGCGTCACCTCTCCGCGCAGTGCCGCTCATTTTCTCGAAAGGGTAGGTTCGTGCTGCGTCGGCGCGCGCAAAAGTTTTTGACTCCGCGTCGATCGTTCAACCTTGAATCGATCGCGGCCCCGATCGCTCAGGGTGGAATTCAGTCGGGTCCAGCGAAGTCATGCCCATCGGGGCTTCCGCGTCGCAGAATTTAACCTTGAACACTTTCGCTCGCATCGCCGGCGCGCCAACGCCGCATGATCCTACCGTAGGCCGTTTGGGAGCGGATGTCCCCAAACACCATCACGTCGTGGAAACTCCGAGGTCCTGGCATTGCGATGTTTCGCAACGGGCGGTTCTGCCTTGTTGCGCGGGCCCCGGGACTCACGGATCGATCGGGCTAGGGAACAGCAGGACAGACGACTCCCTGGTGGGCCCCTGCCATCCGCATCTGCCGCGCTCCACTGCTGCGCTGCTACCACGCGAGAGCGATCCAGCAGCCCACGGCGTGCGCTCCAGCACTGCACCTGTACCGAGGAAGCGCGCTCCAGCAGCCCGCGGCGCGCAGCGTCGACGTCACCGCCGCCGCCCTCTCCGCCGCCGCTGTCGCCGCCCTCGACGTCGCTGCCGTCGCCTTCGCCGGCGCCGTCAGTCCGTCGCCGCCGCCGCCGCCATCGCCACCGTCGCCGTCGCCGTCGCCGCCGGCGTCGTCCGCACCTGTATCAGCGCCATCGCCGACGCCGATGCCACCGCCGTCGCCGCCGTCGCCGTCGCCATCGTCGTCGTCGTCGTCGTCGTCGTCGTCGTCGTCGTCGTCGTCATCGTCGCCGACGGCGTTGTCGTCGGCGCCTTCGCCGGCGCCTTCGTCGTGACCCACGTCGCGGCTGGCGCCGTCGCCGCCGTTGCCGCCGCCGTCGTCGCCGCTGGCGTCTTCGACGCCGCAGCTCTCGCCGTCGCCGTCGCCGCGGTCTGGCCAGAAATTCTCATCAGTGAAATCATCCACTGACTGCAGTGGCATCTTCAACATACACCACCTTAGCTGTGGCAGCTATTTTCTACCTGCAGCGCGCCATAACAAAAGGACATTTACTAAGAGGTGCCCTCCGTCGCTAGGGGGGGCCTAACGCCGACCCAGGACATCTGCGAGGACCTGCACCACTTATGTAATTGTCTGCTCTGCCCTCAGCTGTCACGGGCAACTTGCCAAGCTCGGTTTCACCATTGTCCGTCCGGGGGGGAACACATCCAAACGGCTCTCTGCCGACAAGCTGGAAGCGCGGCACGAGCACTTCGGCTAGATGCGGCCACGCGCAGCAAAACGTGGTCGGAGTGACAGTTTGGCACGCCCACGACCCTGAGAGAAATACCACGGTGGCATCTGACAGGCGTCGCTGATTACGAAGGTGCGGGGTTTGTTGGAATCGCCCAGGCTGGCCCCTGAAGCTGAGTACTATGATCTGACGAGCTTCCTTTGTTCATACCTGACGTTGTCACTGTCCTTGTTTACTCCCGATCGTTGCCACTAATCGTTCCCGTCTTCCCTTCCTGATGCATATCTGGTTCTTGATCGTATTTGTCTGAATCTACGTGGTGCAATCCCTTCCCTTCCTGCCTCCTATGTGGGACAGGAGGCACGGACCTAGCACTGGGGACTGCGGAGGAGCGTCGCGGTCAGGGGGGGGAGGATCAGCAGGTGCTGAAATGCGCATGCACTCGTGCAGTATGCGCTCCTCTTCCCGCACGTTCCAAGCCTGAACGGGCCGTGCAAGTACCACAGGGCGCTCCCAGCGCCTACCCTAATCTCACATGCGCTGCGGTCCCAATAGAGAGAAATGCGGCGCATCGCCAGGGTCCAGGGGATGGAGAACGCCGTGCTGAACGGCAGCCCCAGGATGGCGAAGAGGAACATGGAGGCGACCTTGCCGCTCACGAGGCACATCGCGCTGAGGGAGGCTGGTAGCGATCAATATTTCATCTCGCTCCGCCTGCGGATGGATGATCAGGGATCGGGGTCTTCCTTCAGCAGCGACGCCTGGCTCTGCTCTTAGCATCGTGACGGCGCTGCCCTTGTTTCAAATCGGGCTTCTGCGGAATGTCAGGGTTCCGCCAACCGGCACCGAGACAGAAAAATTACAGCCACAGGGTTCCGTGGTGGGGTCCGCTTGAGCAGTGAAAGCCATGTCGACAGCACAAACGTGGGACTGATCGGGCAGCCTCTTCGTTTATCGTTCGAAATGTTTCGAAACTATTAGCTGGCACACCCCATGGCAAGAAATTCGAGTAGCGTCTGTGACACATTGGCCGTGTACTTGCGCCCGGCCCAGGCGCTGACCTTCCGCACGCCGTTCGCTTCGCCCTCGCTGGCCCAACCTCGCGACACTCCGTCGTGACACGGGCAGCTGGCGTGGACAACAAATCGGGCCAATCCGATTTGCTGTGCAACCCGGAATGATTCCAGAGTGAATGATCGTTTTCTGAAGCAATGCTGGACGACAAACCTCTTACCTGCGACGTGCAGAACGGCCCATGGCCCATCACTCTTTGGGGTCCTGTGGTGGTTGGGCGCAAGGTCCCGCCCGCAAGATCCCGCTCGTGTATGCTCCAGACCACTGGGTTCCAATAATACTTCTCCTTGGGGTCCCGGGCATAGCTGCCCCAGACGCCTCTCCTAGCTTGCCCACCCCAAACAGAAGCTGCCAGAGGGTGTACCGGTAAGTGCAGTGCGGCTTGAATACCAAATGTGGAGGTTGAGCGTAGGTGGACGAAAGGAAGCAAGAACGCGGGGACCTGCCTACATCCCATGCGGGCTCCACTACCAGAAGGAACGCTGAAACAAGAAACGAAGAGGCCATTCTGGCCACGGCGAGCCTCGGCTTTGAATAGGTCCTCCGATCAAAATTTAAGGAACGGCCCGAAACGGAGAACCCCTCCTGAGCCCAAATTCGTCGTTGTTTAGCGTATTGACTGTCTCTCTGGCGTACTAGCTCCCTCCGCTGGCCCGTGCCACAATCTGGGCCCCCTCCGACGGGTCAGCGGGCACACAATACGATGCCGTCCAAACGTGAGACACGCCGCCGAAGACGGCTGAACGCAAGGCGAGCTTTCCCTGCCCTTTTTTCGCATCGAAGTCGCACGTGCACCACCGACGCATCCATCGGGGGTCCGCGGTGCACTGTCCATTGGAAGCGACCCGAGAACTATCGCTATCCTTCCATCGACACTGAGTGGGGTTGCCTATACCCCTATACCCGTTGGTCGGAAGAAGTGGGTAGGAACAAGAGGTAGGAAGGTGTTGAAAGTAGAATGGGCTTCCGCCCGCCACTGAGGACGAGGGAAGACCACTCCACTCTTGGAGTAGGAGGGCGCTTGAAGTAGATTGGAATCTGGGAATCCAGAAATACCTACTCTTCCAACGACTGGCGGGTACACATATTAACGTATATGTCCATACGGGATGTGAGGCGACTGCAGAGACCGCGGCTAAGTCGGCGCCATGCCAACGGCGCCGTCCGAGCCAGCAACGCCGTCTGCCATCACGGCGGCGTCCCGGCTCCACGACAGGAAGAAGGAGTCCATGTACGACAGCAGCTGGAAGCGGTCCGTGAGCGCGCGCACAATCGTCGAGTGCGAAGAGATCGCGAAGCGCAGCAGCAGGTGGTAGAACGGGGGTATGAAGATGATGACGCACACGGTCTCCACGTTCACGGTCACCTCGCTGGGGCCGAGCTGGATCGAACCGCCAAGTCGAATCGGACCGGCAAATCGCCGGCGAACCGCCCCGAATCGAATCGAACACCGGATCGCCGCGCCCGGCTCCGGCTGGCCCCGACCGGTGCCCAGTGAATCGAGCCGAGTCGAGTCGCATCGGACGTCCCCAGCCTAGGGGTCGAATCGCATCGAAGCGGATCGCAGGCGGCCCCGCCTCGCCCACGTCGGGGATCTCCGCGCTGCTGCTCTCCTCCAGGGCGCTCCACCGCTCGAAGTACTCCTCCTGCTCGAAATCGAAGTCCTCCTCGTGCAGCCGCACGCCGGGCGGCACGACGAAGGGACCCAGGTGCGACTGGATCAGGCCCTGTACGACCTGGCGGTCCAAGTCCAAGATCTTGACGGACCAACAGGACCTTCGGGGCACCCGGAAGCGGCAGGTGCATGTTTTTACCGGGCGTTTTCAAATACGTCCTAACAAATTCGCCGGCCCAACGGGCCAGTGGCGTGCTAAGATCTCCGGTAACTGGTTAAGAATTCTCTAGTTCGCGCGCGCGGGGCGGCCCCTGGGGGTCCCCGGACGAAAAGTACCCCGGCAAGGTCCTGAGAGAGTCCCGGGAGGAGTCCCCCAGAGCGCTCCAGGAGCGCTCCATGAGCGCACCAACAGGGCTCCGAGACGTCCCCGAGAGCCCCAAGAAAGGCCAAGAGGCCCCCAAGAGGCCCCCAAGATGGTACACGAGGGGTCCGACATGCCACAAGATCGCTCCAAGACGCCCAAGATAGCCCCCAGACGCCCCAAGAGGCCTCCCAGAGCACTCCCAAGAGGGCCCCCGGAGGCAAAATTCATTGTTTTTCCTTAGGTTTTTGAGAGATTTTGGAGCTTCCACCTTTTCGGTTCCCGACGCCCCAAGACGGCCCCAGAGGCCCCCAAGATCGCCCCAAGAGGGCCCAAGAGGCCCCCAAGAGGGCCCCAAGATGGCCCAAGAGGGCTCGAAGACGGCCCAAGAAGCCTCCAAGACGGTCCAAGAGGGCCCCAAGAACACCCCCAAAGGGGCCCCAGAGAGGGAACACGAAACAAAATTTCGCGCCCTCGGCCCTAAGAAGCCCCTACGAGGCCCCTAAGAGGCCCCAAGAGGCCCCCACGAGGCCCTCAGGAGGCCCCCAAGAGTCCCCCAAGCGGCCCCAGGAGGCCCCCCAAATGCCCCCCCGAGCGCCCCAGGAGTCCCCCAAGCGGCCCCAGGAACCCCCAAAGCGCCGCATTGACACCAGGCCCTCGGGCAAACGGCAGACATGAGACCGTATGGGCCGGCGGAATGAGCGAAGCGATTCAATAATCCAGGAACGTATCATTGAAGAAACCTGGGCCAACTTCCCAGACATATCTTCCAGCAGGCATGGGCCAATCTTTCGCGTTGGCGATATGGGGCGAACGTGCTCAAGAAACTGGGCCAGCGTTCCGGCAAGCCGGTCAAGAAACACCGGCCCACCTTTTCGGGAGGAGGTTTCGTAGTCAGATGCTCGACTGCACCATCGTCTCTGGAACATGACAACGGTTAAAAGACGGCTCCTGGAGACGGGTAAAGCACGGCTCCAGGAACCAGGAAACAACCGCGACCGCGAGGGAACAGAGACACACATCGGGGCCGGAGCCAGCAACCAGATTGCAAAGCGGAGCGAGTAACCAAACTGCCATGTCGGTGCCCGGGCCCACTAAGAGCAGGACTCCTCCATGCTCCCCTTCCACAGGGTCTCGAAAAGGTGCGCCCAGAATATGAGCGGCAGCCTCACTGGCAGGAACAGGTCCTGGAACGCAGCGTTGAAGGTCTCCAGCTGGCCGAAGTACATGTTCCCCAGGCTGTCGTTGAACGCGATGTTCACGCCGAAGGACGTGGGCACTGGGCTGATCGGCTGGAGCCTCAGCAGCAGCTTGTTCATGCTGGGAAAGCCACCTGCGTGGGACGAAGCAGCGTGGCCCCTGTCCTCTGCGATGTAAGGGATTCGTATGGGCTCGATGGGAACAAAGTGCTCGCTGGAGGAGAACGTGAGCTCGAGTGAGAACAGCTGGCGCGGGCAGTCGAAGAACTCGAACGCCTCCGACGTCATCTTCTGCACCTTCTGGTACTCGAGCACGAACGGCAAGCGGATGCTCGCCGGCGACGCCTCCACGTGGCGCCTGTACTCCAGGAAGATCTCGGACCACTGCTCGTGCATGACGACCGAGAAGTCCGCGCCGCCGACCAGGGCGGCAAATTCCCGCCACTCGCTGGGGAACTGGTGGTCCTGCGCGTCGTCGCCCCAGCGCAACTCCCAGTCGTTCGCGCCGAAGGCGGTGGCGCCGGCCTCGCCCCGAGAGGCCCCGGCACCGGCGGCAGGGCTCTCGGAGGGCGCAGGGAGGACGAACACGGCGCACTGCCTGTTGAGACGAAGCCAGGACGAGGAGATAAAGTCGGGTAAGGATGAATCGAGAATCTCTGAGATCCGGCGGATCTGGAAGATGTCTCAGGCGCCGAGGCCTCCTCAGAGCGCTCCGGAACGCTCTGAGAGCGATCCGGGGCGCTCTGGAACGGATTTGTCCTCGTCCTAGCCCCGTCCGACCTGTCCATGATGCCGAGCTTTTTCCGCTCGTCCAGGGACTTCGACAGCCGCAGGAACGGCACTGGACCGTTGACCAAGCGGATCGTCTTCGGAAGCACCGGCGTCAGCATCTTAGTCATTTGCGCTATGTCGTTCGGGTTCGGGTGGAACATCGTCCCCAGGGATGCCGATCCCGCGTGAGTGAGCAGTCTGAGGTACAGGAGCGCCCTGTCTCTCAGGTCCACGCAGGCCTGGTACGTCGCCAGGTGGTGCAGCAGCCGCAGCATGGGCTGGTATATGACGGCCTGGGGGTGCGAGAGGATGACCCTGCGGCAGGTGACGAGCACCTGAATGCCCACCTGCCATGTGAGGGTCGAGCTCGGGCAGAACACCAGCCTGCGCAGGGCGCACATGACGTAGCTCGGGTCCAGCCAGGTCGTCTCCGCCAGCGTGACGAGCAGGCCGAAGTAGGACTGGATGCGCGAGGGGGGCTCCAGCCGCGACACGAAGTCTCCGAGGGAGTGCAGCAGCTTGTACTGCACGGCCTCGGAACAGGCCCTGCGCTCGACGCCGAGCACCGAGGGCAGGAGCCGCGGGTGCGAACGCAGCAAGTCGCAGAGGCACTGCGGCACCTCCAGGCGGTCCATGTCGGGAGCGAAGTTGATGACGATCCGCAGCAGGAACCGGAACAGCACCGCGTGGGCCCCCACGGGCCTGCAGCAGTACTTGAACTCCGAGAGCGCCTCGAGCACCACCAGCAGATTGGTGGGCAGCTTCTTCGAGGTGCGGCAGCAGTACAGGAGCGCCTGCAGCTTCATCTCCTTCAGCTCCAGGGGGTCGTGCCAGCGCGGGCACAGCTCCTGCGCTCGGCCCCAGAGCAAGTCGAAGGTAGACTTCTTCGAGGCCGACAAGGCAATGAGCCAATTGATTGCGAGGCACCGGAAGCACGCTTCTACGGCCGTGTCCTGCGTAAGCAGGAACAGGCGGTCAACAACGGCCTCGGACACAGAGGCCTCTATCTCCTTGGAGAACAGCGCCGTCACGACGAGGAACGCGTGCAGAAGCGACGGGCGTGAGGCGTGCAGCAGGGGGCTGAAGTGGTGGAAAACGACGCGGCATGGCAGTGCCAATATCCGGATGAACAGGCTGAGGCGCTCGGCGAAGAATATTTTGGTCCAGGAGGATGACGTTGGCATAGTCTCCAGGACAATGCTGATGCTTCGGGTCATCGTGCGCACCAGCTTTCTCGGCAGCCGTGGCGGCGTCTGGTCTGGCGCCAAGTCGAAGGCGACCTCGGGCCCAGAGTGGCAGGTCTCGGGGACCTTGAACCTGAAGAACTCGGCGCCGGCGGCGGCCCCTGTCAGGACGAATGCAGGACAACACCAGAGTCGGGCACTGTATATATCGGGATATCTTGGAGCCAGAATCTCAAACCAGCTCGGGATATCAGAGAGCCAACGGGTCAGGAGGGATGTCGGGGGCGCCGCACGCTCCAGAACGCTCTGGGAGCGTCCCAGGACGCTCTGGAGCGAGCTGACTTTGTCCCAGGCATTCCTGGCCTGTGTCCCTGGATATCGACCCAAATCCAGACGCGCTGGGTGCGCTGGTGAAGCTGCTAGGCTCGGAGCCGAGCGGAGCCAGCGGAGTGCGCTTCGCCATCGAGGTTCGCGGCGACGACGGCGGCGTGGAGCCCAGCGGCGTGGCCGAGCCGAGCGGCGTGGCCGTCGTGGAGGTGTGCTCCGATGAGTCACCCTCGCGGGTAGGCTGCTGGCGAATGGCATCCTGCACCACCTGCTCGGCGAAGTGCTGGAAGGTGGTGAAAAACAACCGCGAGTAGCTCTCGTGAACGTGCAGCAGCTCGTCGTTCACAAACCGGCCCAGCGTGTTCTGGCCCACCGAACCAGCTTGCGAGACCTGCCCGCCCAGTGGAACAACGGTCCAGTCTTCGCCAAGCAGAGGGAACAGCAGCCCAGGGTACCAGGTCTCTAGCTCGTGGAGGCATTCGCAAGCATATGCTCGCAACATCCTGTCGGCAGACTTGTTGGTGTGCTTGACGACGGAGAACAGCAAATCTACAAAGCCCTCGAAGCGGGGCACATCCGATTCGAAGCAGTTGAACTGGATCAATAGAGCTGTGTATGTCACCAGTACCTGCGACTTCAAAGAGTACGTCATCGACTGTCCGTCCACGGGTGAGCCGAGGATGTTGTCGAGCACGAAATACACCTTGTGCAACCTCGTGTAGTCGAACATCAGGCTGCTGCCATGTTCTTCCAGGAAGACCAGAGCGGACGTCCGCTCGACCTCGTCCTTTTCCGTGAGGATGGTCAGCAAGAGGATGTCCAGAAGCTGGAACTCCGACATGGAGTCGGCCCCGCTCCTGGAATTGACAACGTACTTCAAGGCCTTGTCGGCGGACTCCTCATTCCAGCTGAACGCATACCGCAGCATCTCATACGTCCAATCTGTCATGGCGCCGGGCCGTGGAGCCCTGGCCGGCCCGCCTGCGAGCCAGTTCGCTGCTAGCTGGGCAGGGGAGAGCCCCTCGCCATCGGATGCAACGACGCCGGGGCAATGTGGTCGCTAGACAACTTGAGCCAGCTGGACCCAGACGCACTCGATCAGATGATACTCAGGATCGTACACTTCGAACAGATACTTGAACAACTGCCTTGAACAAATGCGACTCGACCATAATCCACCCTGAACACATACCTTGACCAAGAGAAGATGAGACAAATATGAGAGGTCTTAGACTACTCGTGGACGTCCTGAGCCGACGAGGAGCTCCCCCAAGAAGCGCAGACAAGAATTCCGCGCGACCCACCTACGGAGGACGCATTGCGCGACCGACCATGCGAAAAGTGGCCACGACCGCGTGAGAGCGCGCGCGCGCAAAAGTAAACACGGAAAGGGTGGCCGTGCACAAGTGACAAATGCATGGTGAGCACGCGCGCGGCGCAGGAAGGCACCCCCTGGATGTCCCCTGTGGACCCCGGAGGCCTTTCGATAAAAAGGGGGAGGAGAGAGGGAGAGAGAGAGAGAGAGAGAGAGAGAGAGAAAAAAAAAAGAGAAAGAGAGAGAGAGAGAGCGAGAGAGAGGGAGAGAGAGAGAGAGAGAGAGAGAGAGAAAAAAAAAAAAAAAAAAAAAAGAGGGAGAAGAGAGAGATAACAATGACAAAGGACTGTGCGGACGCCGTCGCGCTAAGCACAAACGGGCACACAAGAGGCGCCTGGCCCCTGAGGGCCACGCACACGCTCAGGAAGCAGACCCCCAAGAGCCCACCCCTCACGGGGATCGCGGCGGGGAAAGCGCGGGATCGCACGACGATGTGCCACGCAGAGAGAGGGAAAGAGAGAGAGAGAGAGAAACCACAGAGGCCGAAGCCCTCGGGGCCTCTTGGATGCCCCTTGAGACTTTCGGCCCGTGCCCGCTGCACACAGAGAGGCGGGCGGAGTTGCGCCACGCGGCGTCCTCGATGCACGAGAGAAGGCGAGATGGTAATCATGGCAGGCCCGTGCCAGGACGACGGGGGCCCAGGTCTGACTCCGCGCGAGCGCTCCACCCCGAACGACCTCCGCCCTCGGAAGGTCGCCGTCGCCAGAGGCCCTCGTCCCCCCTCCTTCGCGCGGACTTCGCGAATTGGGTCTTCAGCGGGACCCCCGGGGCCCGAGGCGGGCCTCACGATGGCGTTCCGTCAGCGTCGCCGCCGCCCCGCGGCGGAGTGACACCACCGAGGCTGTCCTTTCGCTCACAGCCCGATGCCTGGGCCGTTCGCGGACACCACGCTGGCCAGCCCCGCGAGCCGCGTCCAGCCCTGGCCGCGAGGCCCCCCCCTTCCCGAGCTCCCCACAGGGGCCAGGGGCTGGATCTCATGGCGGCGCCGACGCGCCGAGTCGGCAAGCGCCCGCCACATCCGAACTCCGCGTGCCCCCAGCTCCACGCGCGCGCAGAGCGCCGCGCCCTCCGAGGAAGCAGGCAACAGCAGAAGGGGCCCCGCCTGTGAGGACGACGAGGCCCACCTGCTGGCGGGCAGGAGGGGCGGGGCGAAGGCGACGGCCCTCCACGAAGGCGGAGGGGCTTCTCAGAAGCACTCCCGCCTTCCGGAAGGCCTCTCGTGACTGACCAGAAAGGACCCCTAATCCCTAATTCTATGGGAGGGGACCTAAGCCAGGGAGGGCCAAAAACGTTAGGGATAGGGGTCTTTTCTGCAGATGTCTCAGACCAAACCGCCCAGCGATATCATCCCTAATGCGAA